CCCTGCAGAGCTGGGTCTGTTTCTGAGAGAAGTCCTTCCATAGGAAGGAAACTGTAGTGCATATCTAGTAGAGAGAACCGCCTGTTTAGTAGAAAAACAAAACAGGAAAAAACGAATAAGAAGTATGCCAGGTTTTCAGAGAGTATGAATTCTGTGAAATGCAGGTGCATGCTGAGTAGAGCTGTATGAATTACTTTTTGTCTTTGGTTTTGTTTTGTTTTGTCAGTGGCTGAACAGAATCATTTTTAAATGTTTTTTTTTTAAATCAGTGAATCAAAACTCAAAATTGTTTCTGGTCAAATGTAATCCCCCCCCCCCCCCAAAAAAAAACCAAAATATTTTGTTGTTTTTTTCCATTATTTTTGCCCTTCTTCTGCGGTGTGGGATCAAGGGCAGTTGTTAGGCTTATCTGTGTATATCTCATTTAATCATTTCCCTGCCACTGCAGGGGGCCTTGAACACTGATCCACTTCAAGCCCTGCTATTCTGTACTTGCTGTGCAGGCTAGTGCAGTCTTGTGTGGGCTGTAATACCTCGGTCTAATTTTTTGGTGTTGATGGTGAGCTGTGTTACACAGGTCAACCTAACAAGGACGCCATTTTGGGAGTGCAGGGGAATGGAAAGAAAAGCAAGCCACATCCCAGTACACGTGGCTGCTGCCCTCTGCTCTCCCAAAACACTGCACTTGCAGCCTAGGTGAACTTGAGGACCCTTCTGCCCTTAAATACTATGACTAGATGACTCTATACATTTTGGGGGAGGAGGGGAAATCACAATAAAAGTCTAAATGAAACAATGAACCCAATGAAAAATCATTTGAAACGGCTGAAAACCCAGTTTATCTGTTTTACCATTTCTTATTCTGCTGGAACAAATAACTGAGCTGAACATAAACGGGCTACTTTTTAATCTTTGTATTTGAATAGAGGATACATTTCTCACTTGAGTTTCCGTTTGATATTGGAGAGAGAAGTTAATGTGCAAGAAGGACCTTTCAAACTCTTCTGTAAGACACTACATTATGCAAAAGAAGCTACAAGAGAACACAAGCATTTCTTCAAGATGTTTAAAATGTATCCATTACTAAAACACTCGTTAGCTGGTGTAAATTGCTATATGTACCTTTCAAATATATTTACAACTACCCATAAAAAGATACTTGAATCTAGAGTTGCCCTGAAACTGGTGACATAGGATGTTATTTAAATCAAGAATGTCACAGAATGGCCAATGTAAAAGAGAACCAAGGCTTTAATTGAAACTTTCATAGAAACACCTGATGGTAGGTGTCATGGTTAACTGCCAAGTAGACCCAGGTATCTATTAATAAAGTTGTGGCCTGATTAAAACCATATTAAGTGTTTCCCTATCTTCCTTGCAGGGTAGCCAATTAATAGTTGGGGAACACTCCGGTGATGACATACAGGAGAAATCCTGCCCTCAATGAAACCAGTAAAGGTTTTGTACCTCAGCCCATTTCAATTTGGGGTGTGGAGCTCATGTGCAGACTGCCCAAGAGGTGAAACATTTTTAATACTATTTATTTAATTATGAAACATTAACAGATGTGTAAATCTCAGAAACAAAACAATCATTACAATATTGAGCATTGGTTGAAAGAGAGATTATACAGAACTATAGTCATGAGACCCTTTTGTTATATGTTTCTTTATATAATTTGTCCCTTCTCAAACTATTTTCTTCCACTATTTGATCTGAGGAAGTGGGTCTGGCCCACGAAAGCTCATCATCTAATAAACCATCTTGTTAGTCTTTAAAGTGCTACATTGTCCTGCATTTTGCTTCAGCTACCCCAGACTAACACGGCTACATTTCTATCACTATCTTGATGTAGAATATTCTGAGCATGTTTTTTCCTTTAACAATTTTAGTTAGCCCTTTGACGTTCAAAGATGACTTGGAAAGGATGAGCATTTGAGAATATTTAGCTTATTGAAAATGTGTAATTGTGATGATTCTTGATGTCTCTTTGCTGGCATGAACACTTATATACCCAATATCTCATTTCCAATTATGTTGTGTTTGCAACTGTGGAGATGAACTTGGTTTCTGTTTTGTAAGTCTCCCTACCTATTTCTTGTAGTAATTCCCCCCAACTTGTAAGTTCCTGGCCCTATTCTTCATTCTCCTTACTTTAAATCCATACATACAATACCAATACAGCATGTAAAGGTGTCCTCAAATTCCTTCCAAACCCAAACCTCCATGCTTTTCCCCGAACACTTGGCCTGCTTGTCGTTCAGGACAAAGGAGGTACTTTCTCCTCCCATGGGACCTTAACTCACCACCCTTAAAAACAGATTGCCATCCAGTCATTTGAATTGCATGGGGAGGATTTACACAGAACTCCTAAACATTCTTCCTGAATCCTCTCTCTTTTCTTCTGGCTCCTCCACCCCTGGCCTATTCCTCCTTATTGTCTTTTATCATCTCTATTTTTGCTACCATAGAATTATCATCACTGCAATTAAAGCAAACTCTTTTCTTTATAACATTAGCAGTTAGCAGCAACTATGCTCATTTCTTGTGACTGCAGATAAATCTCTTCTTGTTCATCCTTAGGCTACTCCTCCAGTATCTGGGTTCTCTTCTTCAGCTTCACTTCTGTCTTTGCTGGTACAGTCTCCAGACTTCCTATCTTCCTTTTTCTGAGTTTTGCTATCTGCCAAGAGGTTTTCAGCAACATATTTGTAGTTACTACCACAGGGGACTCCTCTTGCATAGTTGAGATGTGGATTACTATCCCAAGGGAGTGACTGAAGTATATTTTTCCTTGTCTAAAAGTTTACTATACACTATTTTTGGAGAATCCATCGTCTGCCTCACTCTGCTCTGTTTTCTGGAGGAGTTTAGTAGATTTGGGGGTGGAGGGGTTGATGAAGGCAGATTGCTTACTTCACTGTCTCCTCAGAGCAGGTTTCATGCTAGTCTCCATTAATTTTTTTTAAGTGGCCTGTCTGGTAAAAGAGGAATTGAATGTAGTGTGATAAACGCTGCACTAACTTGCATCCCAAGAATCCTTTCTATGTCCATAAGAATTGTACTGGTTGGGAAGGGGAGGGAAAATGTTATAAAAGTCTGGATAGCCATTGGCAGAAATCCGTGTCTCAGCCTATAACTGAGGATGCCAACACAAAGTACAGCCATGCAGTATTATTTTACATTGTCATAACTGAGCTTAATTTCAACACTAATGCCACAAGCTACACGTATTATGGGATATTCTGGTCTGTATTTTATATGGTTTGATCAGTTCTAGGTTTGCAGTAGTTAAGAAGTAATCCTCAATTGGAATGATACTCACATCACCATATACTATATAGAGCAGTATAAGCAAGTCACTCACTGTATGAAATTTTAGTTTGTACTGACTTCACTTGTGCTTTTTATGACACATGGGCTGTGTCTACACTGGTAAGTTTTTCTGCAAAAGCAAGTGCTTTTGCGCAAAAACTTGCCAGCTGTCTACACTGGCCGCTTGATTTTGCCCAAAAGCACTGATGTTCTACTGTCTGAAATCAGTGCTTCTTGCGCAAATGCTTTGACGTTACCGTTCGGTCAAAAGCCCTTTTCTGGAAATGTTTTTGCGCAAGAGGGTCAGTGTAGATAGCTAAAAACTGTTTTGCGCAAAAAAGCCCTGATGTCAAAAATGGCGATCGGGGCTTTCTTGCGCAAAACCGTGTCTAGATTGGCACGGACGCTTTTCCTCAAAGTGCTTTTACGGAAAAGCGTCCGTGCCAATCTAGACGCTCTTTTCCACAAATGCTTTTAACGGAAAAACTTTTCCGTTAAAAGCATTTCCGGAAAATCATGCCAGTCTAGACATAGCCATGTTGTAAAACTAGGAAAATATCAAGATGACTATGTGCCCTGTAAGACCTTTGTGTACCCCCAGCTATGCACTTACCCCTCACTGACAACCACTGTTTCATAGCATTTTTCCCTCACAGCTCTCAAAATACGCTGCCTGCATTTAAAGGGCACTGTTAACTTCAAGTTGATAGCTATGTGATTTTTTTTAACCTACTATTGTTACAAGTAAAACATAAGATGATTATTGAAAGAATATTTTTTCTGTATTTTTACTTTGTGCATTAGCCAGCAGTTTGTATAAGAATCATTTTCACTGTTTCCTCTGTTCAGTCTGTTTTCCCTATTTGTATAGGCATTTCACACAGCAATAAGACTGAAAAAACATCATGGAAACATAATAGTTAAAACACAAGAATTGGCAGGGATTCTCTGACTAACACTTTTTTTAATTCACTTGAGTTTAAACTTACCAGAAACCCTTTAATTAAGCCTCACAACATTGTTATGAGTTAGATATATTGGCATTATGTTATAGATGAGAAAACTGCAGAAAAGAATGTTTTAAGTGCCAGATCCAAAGCTCATTGATTTGTCCAATGACTTCAATGGGTATTGGATCAGACCCTAAGTACCAAGATCTCAGACCAAGAGAGAAACAAAAAACTGCAGTCCCATTTTTTAACCATGATACAACACATCATGTGAATTACAGAATTATGCTGCTTTTTTCGACATACTTGTTTGAACCCATTAATCTAACAGAGCTTATAAGTTCCCCAATTGAACCCTTTGAAACTTACTGCAGTGGGGCTTAGTAGAAAGGCAGCAAACATACAGGGTTCTGCCCCACGTTCTCTTAAAGACATGGTAATTTCCAAGAGATTTTTGCGGCTGAATACGCTTGGGCTACGTCTACATTCAAGGTTTGGCCATTTTTGTGCAAAAACCTGCAGAGCATCCAGACCTCAAATGTGCTTTTGCGCAAGTAAATCAGCAGTAAAACGGCAGAACAGAGGGCTTTTGCCGGTGTAGGTGAACCTCCTTCTATGAGGCATAAATCCCTTTTGAGCTACAGCTATTGTGCAAAAAAGGCAAGTGTGGATGCTTCAGAGGGGTTTCTTGTGCAAGAAACTCGTGGGGAAAAAGCGCAGGTGCTTTGTTCCGCGTAACTCGGGGGACTGCCTGTATTTCCATTTTAATAGGGTCTAGTTTAAAAACCAGCTGTCTGGTCAGGAAGTTAAAGTTCTGCTTTATGAAAGCACTTCAGTGCAATTTCTTTCATCCTTGGCTACAGTGATAAAGAATTTTAAAGCCTGCACAGACACTTTAAAAGACACATCTTAGGTTAAACATCCTCATACACAACAAAAGTTAATTATTCCAAACATGCCACTTAAAATTCTGCAAGACAGTTGAATTCAAAGAAACTCATTTTAAATTGATCCTTTTCAATACAAATCTTCATTGTTGCTGCTAAGGAGGGCAGGATATGCTGTTCCAATGTGTGTACCATGCCGATACACAGTTATCTCTAGCTCATACTCCTCTATCCGCACCATCTCACGAGTGATCTTTTCCTGAGACTGAAGAAAAATGATTGTATAGAGGGCAAACTCAAACTCAGGGCTGACACCAATAAAGGTGCTTCCTATGGGCTTTACTAGACCTTTCCAGCTGAACTGCAGGCTCAGAACTTGATCATCTTCATCAGGCTGTAAGCAAAAATAAGACATGAAAACCCCCTGAATACAACCAGACATTTTCACATTTGGGTTATTCTGCAAATACAAACGTGGGAGACTACTGCTGAGCAGCCCAGGCTGCTTGTATCGATAACGTTTTTATGCAATGTGGGAGGTAAAACAGAGCTCTTTTAGGGGGTTATACAGCCCTTGATCTCACATTAAATCTTCATTAGAATCTCCTGTTGTTTATAGGTCAAGAACTCAGCCACTTGGATACTTAGGTTTGTCTGCAGCACTCATCACTAAGGTAATGTAAAGTGGCATAAATATTTAGTGCCATTGATGGCAGTAGTGCAGGATTGGCTAAGCTACTATTCTAGCTATTAGGAAAGACAAACCTGCTGGGGAGGATGGTCTCCTGTTTCATAAGGGCAGTAAAATGATAGAGCTGGAGGCATGCTCAGGAATATCCTGTTATTAGGGTAGAATTCATTGCCATTCAATTATAGCTAGAAATTTCAAAGGAGTCTGAGTCAGTCACCCAATTCCCAATGAAATTCAGTGTGAGAGCTTCCTTACTGCCCCCTTAAATGAGTGCTCAACAGGCTTTATTACAGTGATGGGCAACCTGTGGCCCCCGAGCGTGGCCAATTGGGGTTCCACCTGCAGCCTCCCCATCTGCCCCCATTCTCCCATGCACCTCTGGCACAGTGGGGCACCAGAGCCCTGCATTTCCTACTCTTCTCTCTCCCTCCCAGCAATTTCAGAGCACCATGAATCTGCTGACTTGTGCTCTGGCCCCCCCTTCTGTCCTCTCTTCCAGAGCTTGAATGCCATGAGTCAGCTGTTGGTGGCTGTCCATGTTCTGGGAGGGAGGGAGAGGAGCAGGGACAGAATATGCATCAGCAGATCATGGCGTTCTGGACATGCTGGGAGTGCCCCGGTGCACCAGAGGTGTGGGGAAAGAGGGAAGAGAGGGGGTGCACGGGCCAGAGATGGAACCCCAGTGGGCTGTAAGCCTCAGGTTGCCCACCACTGGAATCATGCGGCTCACTGAGATGGAGGGCCACTAATGCAGCCCACTCACTAGTCTTGGTTGTCCATTGCTGCTTTATTGCATAGCCCTTACTAACACAGTCAAGTAACAAAAGCTTCAGCGGGGTAGCCGAGTTAGTCTGTAACAGGGAAAACTGTAAAAAACAACAAAGTCTTTAAAGTGCTACCAGACTAACAAAACAGACGCTTTTGCGCAAAAACTTGCCAGCTTCCTACACTGGCTGCTTGAATTTGTGCAAGAGCACTGACGTTCTAATGTAAGAATTGAGTGCTTCTTGCACACATACTTTGATGCTCCCGTTCAGGTATAAGCCCTCTTATGCAAAAATACTTGCACAAGAGGGCCAGTGTAGACAGGCACCTTAATTTTTTGCGCAAGAAAGTCCAATGGCTAAAATGGCCATCGGAGCTTTCTTGAGCAAAAGCGTGTCTATACTGGGCACGGATGCTTTTCCGCAAAAGCATCCGGGCCAATCTAGACGCTCTTTTGCAGAAATACTTTTGTCTTGTCTCTGTGCACTGCAAGTTTCACGTCACTTAAAAAACCACTTGCTTACAAAATCAAATATAAAAATATGAAAGTGTAACAAAACACGGTCATTTACAATTTCCCGACTTTCTCATTTTACTATATAATTATAAAAAAAAAATTTCCTCAATTGGAATGATACTCACATCACCATATACTATATAGAGCAGTATAAGCAAGTCACTCACTGTATGAAATTTTAGTTTGTACTGACTTCACTTGTGCTTTTTATGACACATGGGCTGTGTCTACACTGGTAAGTTTTTCTGCAAAAGCAAGTGCTTTTGCGCAAAAACTTGCCAGCTTCCTACACTGGCTGCTTGAATTTGTGCAAGAGCACTGACGTTCTAATGTAAGAATTGAGTGCTTCTTGCACACATACTTTGATGCTCCCGTTCAGGTATAAGCCCTCTTATGCAAAAATACTTGCACAAGAGGGCCAGTGTAGACAGGCACCTTAATTTTTTGCGCAAGAAAGTCCAATGGCTAAAATGGCCATCGGAGCTTTCTTGAGCAAAAGCGTGTCTATACTGGGCACGGATGCTTTTCCGCAAAAGCATCCGGGCCAATCTAGACGCTCTTTTGCAGAAATACTTTTGTCTTGTCTCTGTGCACTGCAAGTTTCACGTCACTTAAAAAACCACTTGCTTACAAAATCAAATATAAAAATATGAAAGTGTAACAAAACACGGTCATTTACAATTTCCCGACTTTCTCATTTTACTATATAATTATAAAAAAAAAATTTCCTCAATTGGAATGATACTCACATCACCATATACTATATAGAGCAGTATAAGCAAGTCACTCACTGTATGAAATTTTAGTTTGTACTGACTTCACTTGTGCTTTTTATGACACATGGGCTGTGTCTACACTGGTAAGTTTTTCTGCAAAAGCAAGTGCTTTTGCGCAAAAACTTGCCAGCTTCCTACACTGGCTGCTTGAATTTGTGCAAGAGCACTGACGTTCTAATGTAAGAATTGAGTGCTTCTTGCACACATACTTTGATGCTCCCGTTCAGGTATAAGCCCTCTTATGCAAAAATACTTGCACAAGAGGGCCAGTGTAGACAGGCACCTTAATTTTTTGCGCAAGAAAGTCCAATGGCTAAAATGGCCATCGGAGCTTTCTTGAGCAAAAGCGTGTCTATACTGGGCACGGATGCTTTTCCGCAAAAGCATCCGGGCCAATCTAGACGCTCTTTTGCAGAAATACTTTTGTCTTGTCTCTGTGCACTGCAAGTTTCACGTCACTTAAAAAACCACTTGCTTACAAAATCAAATATAAAAATATGAAAGTGTAACAAAACACGGTCATTTACAATTTCCCGACTTTCTCATTTTACTATATAATTATAAAAAAAAAATTTCCTCAATTGGAATGATACTCACATCACCATATACTATATAGAGCAGTATAAGCAAGTCACTCACTGTATGAAATTTTAGTTTGTACTGACTTCACTTGTGCTTTTTATGACACATGGGCTGTGTCTACACTGGTAAGTTTTTCTGCAAAAGCAAGTGCTTTTGCGCAAAAACTTGCCAGCTTCCTACACTGGCTGCTTGAATTTGTGCAAGAGCACTGACGTTCTAATTTCTGGTGCAAGAGCATCCAGGCAGTGTGGATGCTCTCTTGTACAAAAGCACATCTCTTTTTCAGCATAAATATTTAGTGCCATTGATGGCAGTAGTGCAGGATTGGCTAAGCTACTATTCTAGCTATTAGGAAAGACAAACCTGCTGGGGAGGATGGTCTCCTGTTTCATAAGGGCAGTAAAATGATAGAGCTGGAGGCATGCTCAGGAATATCCTGTTATTAGGGTAGAATTCATTGCCATTCAATTATAGCTAGAAATTTCAAAGGAGTCTGAGTCAGTCACCCAATTCCCAATGAAATTCAGTGTGAGAGCTTCCTTACTGCCCCCTTAAATGAGTGCTCAACAGGCTTTATTACAGTGATGGGCAACCTGTGGCCCCCGAGCGTGGCCAATTGGGGTTCCACCTGCAGCCTCCCCATCTGCCCCCATTCTCCCATGCACCTCTGGCACAGTGGGGCACCAGAGCCCTGCATTTCCTACTCTTCTCTCTCCCTCCCAGCAATTTCAGAGCACCATGAATCTGCTGACTTGTGCTCTGGCCCCCCCTTCTGTCCTCTCTTCCAGAGCTTGAATGCCATGAGTCAGCTGTTGGTGGCTGTCCATGTTCTGGGAGGGAGGGAGAGGAGCAGGGACAGAATATGCATCAGCAGATCATGGCGTTCTGGACATGCTGGGAGTGCCCCGGTGCACCAGAGGTGTGGGGAAAGAGGGAAGAGAGGGGGTGCACGGGCCAGAGATGGAACCCCAGTGGGCTGTAAGCCTCAGGTTGCCCACCACTGGAATCATGCGGCTCACTGAGATGGAGGGCCACTAATGCAGCCCACTCACTAGTCTTGGTTGTCCATTGCTGCTTTATTGCATAGCCCTTACTAACACAGTCAAGTAACAAAAGCTTCAGCGGGGTAGCCGAGTTAGTCTGTAACAGGGAAAACTGTAAAAAACAACAAAGTCTTTAAAGTGCTACCAGACTAACAAAACAGACGCTTTTGCGCAAAAACTTGCCAGCTTCCTACACTGGCTGCTTGAATTTGTGCAAGAGCACTGACGTTCTAATGTAAGAATTGAGTGCTTCTTGCACACATACTTTGATGCTCCCGTTCAGGTATAAGCCCTCTTATGCAAAAATACTTGCACAAGAGGGCCAGTGTAGACAGGCACCTTAATTTTTTGCGCAAGAAAGTCCAATGGCTAAAATGGCCATCGGAGCTTTCTTGAGCAAAAGCGTGTCTATACTGGGCACGGATGCTTTTCCGCAAAAGCATCCGGGCCAATCTAGACGCTCTTTTGCAGAAATACTTTTGTCTTGTCTCTGTGCACTGCAAGTTTCACGTCACTTAAAAAACCACTTGCTTACAAAATCAAATATAAAAATATGAAAGTGTAACAAAACACGGTCATTTACAATTTCCCGACTTTCTCATTTTACTATATAATTATAAAAAAAAAATTTCCTCAATTGGAATGATACTCACATCACCATATACTATATAGAGCAGTATAAGCAAGTCACTCACTGTATGAAATTTTAGTTTGTACTGACTTCACTTGTGCTTTTTATGACACATGGGCTGTGTCTACACTGGTAAGTTTTTCTGCAAAAGCAAGTGCTTTTGCGCAAAAACTTGCCAGCTTCCTACACTGGCTGCTTGAATTTGTGCAAGAGCACTGACGTTCTAATGTAAGAATTGAGTGCTTCTTGCACACATACTTTGATGCTCCCGTTCAGGTATAAGCCCTCTTATGCAAAAATACTTGCACAAGAGGGCCAGTGTAGACAGGCACCTTAATTTTTTGCGCAAGAAAGTCCAATGGCTAAAATGGCCATCGGAGCTTTCTTGAGCAAAAGCGTGTCTATACTGCAAAACCGTGTCTAGATTGGCACGGACGCTTTTCCTCAAAGTGCTTTTACGGAAAAGCGTCCGTGCCAATCTAGACGCTCTTTTCCACAAATGCTTTTAACGGAAAAACTTTTCCGTTAAAAGCATTTCCGGAAAATCATGCCAGTCTAGACATAGCCATGTTGTAAAACTAGGAAAATATCAAGATGACTATGTGCCCTGTAAGACCTTTGTGTACCCCCAGCTATGCACTTACCCCTCACTGACAACCACTGTTTCATAGCATTTTTCCCTCACAGCTCTCAAAATACGCTGCCTGCATTTAAAGGGCACTGTTAACTTCAAGTTGATAGCTATGTGATTTTTTTTAACCTACTATTGTTACAAGTAAAACATAAGATGATTATTGAAAGAATATTTTTTCTGTATTTTTACTTTGTGCATTAGCCAGCAGTTTGTATAAGAATCATTTTCACTGTTTCCTCTGTTCAGTCTGTTTTCCCTATTTGTATAGGCATTTCACACAGCAATAAGACTGAAAAAACATCATGGAAACATAATAGTTAAAACACAAGAATTGGCAGGGATTCTCTGACTAACACTTTTTTTAATTCACTTGAGTTTAAACTTACCAGAAACCCTTTAATTAAGCCTCACAACATTGTTATGAGTTAGATATATTGGCATTATGTTATAGATGAGAAAACTGCAGAAAAGAATGTTTTAAGTGCCAGATCCAAAGCTCATTGATTTGTCCAATGACTTCAATGGGTATTGGATCAGACCCTAAGTACCAAGATCTCAGACCAAGAGAGAAACAAAAAACTGCAGTCCCATTTTTTAACCATGATACAACACATCATGTGAATTACAGAATTATGCTGCTTTTTTCGACATACTTGTTTGAACCCATTAATCTAACAGAGCTTATAAGTTCCCCAATTGAACCCTTTGAAACTTACTGCAGTGGGGCTTAGTAGAAAGGCAGCAAACATACAGGGTTCTGCCCCACGTTCTCTTAAAGACATGGTAATTTCCAAGAGATTTTTGCGGCTGAATACGCTTGGGCTACGTCTACATTCAAGGTTTGGCCATTTTTGTGCAAAAACCTGCAGAGCATCCAGACCTCAAATGTGCTTTTGCGCAAGTAAATCAGCAGTAAAACGGCAGAACAGAGGGCTTTTGCCGGTGTAGGTGAACCTCCTTCTATGAGGCATAAATCCCTTTTGAGCTACAGCTATTGTGCAAAAAAGGCAAGTGTGGATGCTTCAGAGGGGTTTCTTGTGCAAGAAACTCGTGGGGAAAAAGCGCAGGTGCTTTGTTGGCCATTCTGCCAATGGCCATCAGAGCTTTCTTGTGCAAGGGCATCCATGCAGTGTGGATGCTCTCTTGTACAAAAGCACATCTCTTTTTCAATGCACTTTGAGGTATGGATGTGCTCTTGTGCAAGTTTTTGCACAAAAACTCTTGTGCAAAAGGCTTCTTGCGCAAGAGGCCTACAGTGTAGATGTAGCCTCAGTGTCTTTCTAATATCAGGCCCTCTTTCTTGGGTAAGGTCAGTGGAGACACTACCTACCAGAGGATTATTAATCCCCTCTATCCTCAAGAGATAACGGGGATAAAATGGCCTGAGAAAATTGTGCAATCTCAGTGGGGAATTAAAAATTAGGTGGGTATTGAGATTTGTACCAGGCAAAATCCATAGGGGGAAAAAAAAATCTGTCTATCCCAACGCCATGGTTCCTTAGACTTATTACCAGAGAAATCTCAAGTAGATTTACTCACTTTATTTATAAACTATACACATACAAATGGACAATCCCACATCTCTTACCCTGCTTTTTTGACTCCTGGCTACATAGCCTTTGTAGTCAATTTGTTTATGCTTTTCCTGAAGGTAAAATTGTACCCAGTTATGCAACCCCAGAATCTCTTTTCCATGTTTTGTTTCTCCGACAAACACGTGTTCAAACCCACAGGAATCAGGCCTACAATAAAATCAGCATAAAAATAATTAGCTAAAAAGTTAAAATTGCTGGATGCAAAATGGCAGAAAATGAACAAAATGGGCATTTGCTGAGTGTCATCCATGTACATTTCCTGTTTTGAATGCTTTCTTTTTCTTTTCTTTTTTTTGTGTGTAAATAATAATTTAAAGATCTGGTCATGAAATCTAAGTTATTTGATTTTAAAGGAATAACTGATGGTAAAAAACAAACAAACAAATGAGCCAGAATATTTGTCTTTTCCATTATAAACAAATTTATCTATAAATTGGTTTTGTCCCACAAATGAAATCTGTTTTCATAAAAAGGATTGTATACCTACTAATCATTCAGTTCTCAAAAAAATGAAAATATTTATTGATAAGCCAGGATGAGCTATTACAGAGCAGTGGGACATTAAAATTACATTTACCCATGTGATACCAATTAATACTTACTCATCTCCATTTTCTGTGGTAATGTCTGTGTGACATACAGATTTATTTCTTAATCCTATTAAATATACTTTTTACTAGGATCCATATTGACCATACATACCCCTTTCCTGTTTTCCTGGTGTACAGTTGAAACCAGATGTTATAGAGCTGAGACTTGAAATCATTAAGACTGGGTTTAGACCAATTTTTTGTAACTAAATATTGATGAGTAAGCTGGAGGATCAAAATAAGGGAGTATGATTAATTTAATTCACAGTTAACTGTGGCAAGTGAGCAAGAATGATGAGCAGCTGTACTCACTTTCATGACTTTTGTTTCTAAGATAGCATCAAGAAAACGATTGTTTTCTGCCATTTCTTGTGGGGTCACAACTTCTTCTACACCAGTTGATGTTTCATAGTTGTCCAATAGGGACACAAAAGCTGCAAAGAAAGAAACCATTAAACATGTCACCTATCAGTATTTAACAGTGTGTAGACTAAAATCGCCTTTGTGAATTGTTCTTTAGATGGCAACATAATCACAATAAATGATCAGTTCTGGATTTTTCTCTCATATAGCAGACACATAAATAATAGTGTTCTAGTGAAGTTCCACTAATCCCTATGTTATTGAATCTTTGCTCTGATCAAGGATTTTAGGCCCAGTAAGGCTTGCTGTTCAACCATACAAAGTTTGTCCATCATCAGAGTGAATGGAGTGGGTGCTAACCGTGACAAAATAAGACCTGTGTGAACACAGTATAAATAAGATCCTTGTTCCACAGTATAAATAGCAATTTTCTCCATGCAGAAAAGGAGACAGAACACACTGTATGAACCTGAATGGCAGCAAAATGAGATGTTACAATTAATTAATTAGTTAATGTTTCTAGAAGCCCCAAGGAATATGTAATAAATTGAAATGGCAATTTCTGAAACTGTCATTTAATAGGTATATGGCCAAATTCTGTTCTGAGTTACACAGCTCAATATATATACACAGAGGCTACGTCTAGACTGGCATGATTTTCCGGAAATGCTTTTAACGGAAAAGTTTTCTGTTAAGCATTTTCGGAAAAGAGCGTCTAGATTGGCACGGACGCTTTTCCACAAAAGAACTTTTTGCGGAAAAGCGTCCGTGGCCAATCTAGACGCGCTTTTGCGCAAAAAAGCCCTGATCACCATTTTCGCGATCGGGGATTTTTTGCGCAAAACAAATCTCAGCTGGCCCTCTTGCGCAAAAGGGACTTTTGCCCGAACAGGAGCAGCATAGTATTTCTGCAAAAAGCACTGATTTCTTACAGTAGGAAGTCAGTGCTTTTGTGGAAATTCAAGCGGCCAGTGTAGACAGCTGGCAAGTTTTTCCAGAAAAGCGGCTGATTTTCTGGAAAAACTGGCCAGTCTAGACACAGCCAGAGAGATTACCTCCATGACTTTTAATGAAATTGCCATCAGAATACTGCTTAGAGATTTTTGTTTGAAATAAAGTTTGTAGTTGATACTCTATACCAAGGTAACAAACCATCTGAGCAACAAAAGTATTGAGTGTAAACAAGTTAAATTTTAAAGGCTACTGGGTTCTGTTGATTAAGTTTATTCTTGTAAATACATATAATTCTAGGCAATCGTACACAAATGTTTACATTTATTTAGCTGCATATTTTCTCTGGAGATCAGTACACTTTCTAAAAAAGATTCCCCAGGTAAACTCCGATTACCTTTTGAATGACATACAGCATGATGGATCTTTATCTCCTGATAATCCGACCATCCAAGCTAGACCTAATGCTACATTTTAAGTCTACATTTAAAAAAATACAGCTTCATCATCCCACATCCAATGAGAACAAAACAATGAGAAGAAAGGATGCACTGTTACTGAAGAACAACTCCACAGAAGACCTCACCTTCCGATTACCTTTTGAATGACATACAGCATGATGGATCTTTATCTCCTGATAATCCGACCATCCAAGCTAGACCTAATGCTACATTTTAAGTCTACATTTAAAAAAATACAGCTTCATCATCCCACATCCAATGAGAACAAAACAATGAGAAGAAAGGATGCACTGTTACTGAAGAACAACTCCACAGAAGACCTCACCTGCAAATTTATGTAGTGAAACAGAGGTTTAGCCGCACTGTCCCTTGCAATACTGCTACCTTGCTGAACAAAGCCCGCTTTTCCCTATGAGAACCATAAGAACAAAACAATGAAGGATGTGAAATGTTTTTAAAGGAGGTAATTCCTCTCCTAGTAGTAATCAAAGCACATCAAGAAGTTAACTGCAATTAAAACTGTTTATTGTATTACAAAACAATAGAGATCATTATACTATAAATCGTGGCATCGAGAAGAGAAATATTAATTGCTGTCATTGTAAGAGTTTGAAAGCTAAGAATGATGGTTTATTGGGTATAGCTATAACGAATTACCAAGAAAACCTCTGTGTTATATGAATAAGTAGATTTACCCCACGTTGCTTGGGTCCTTTGCTCAAATAAGTTTTTTTTTTTTCATTTAAATCATTGTCCTAGGGTGGAGGTGTGGATGAGGGGTTCAGGATGCAGTGGGGAGAGAGGACAACCCCAGCCTTCTCTCACCACAGCATCTTGAGGCTAAGTGCGAAGTGCCTCTCCATGGCTGCTGCAGCTGCCACAGGCACAGCCAGGGAGGAATGCATGTCCCCCAGTTGGGGGACAGACAGACGGACAAACTCTGAAATATGTAGTAATTAGCTGTCCCTTTCTCCACCCCTGTCCCCTGATGGCCCAATGGAGTTATAGCTGTCCTGGTACCCATATCTGGCCCTTTGCTGCCCCCAAGGGGTCATTCAACTGTCCCTCTTTTTCTGTGTTATAAAAACAATCACATCCCGTGGTCCTGAGTCAACTAAACTCAGACCTTGCTTTATGTTATGATAAGCGGAAGCTGCCTACCAAATTTGGTGGTCTTACCATTTAGGAGGAGTTCTTGAACAAATGTACTCACTGACAGACGTACGGACACACAGACAGGGGCACAGCTGCACAAACCTTCTCAAATATGTAGGAGATAAACAATCATGTGGAGCAATGTGGGCCTGATGTCGCACTCCTGGGACAAACAGAACTCCCATTGCTTTCAGGGAAATTGGTACCTCTGTTAGAACTGTGGAAACTGACGCAGTGGGGGAGAGGCTCAAAGGTGTAAAGGGCAGCAAGGCACCCAAACCCCATTGATTTTAAATGCGAGCTGAGCGCTTCACTGCCCTGTGTGTGTGTGAAAGTCAGCCTTGTTTCTACAAGAGATTGAAGTTTTCTGTGTGGACGTTCTTCTCTTGAATTCAAATCCTGAGCCTAGCATCCAGGCCAAGTACCGAGTAGATACACTGAGGAGCTTGTGTGACACAGATCCAAATCTCCAGTGTAGAGGAAAGGAAGAAGCACCTAGCAACTGATCTTCCAGTCCCACTTCCTGTTGCCCGTAGTCCAGCCGTATGCTACACCCCCATGTGCTGTTGTTTTCCATACTGAATAAGGGGTGCATAGACCCGCCAACAGGGAGGGGAAGCATTAGTAGCCCCAGGGCCCAGCAACTCAAAGGGGCCTGGAGCTCCTAGGTGTCACTGCTGCTCCTGTGGCAGTGGCCTTTAAATCGCTGCTGGAGTATCAGGCGGCACTGAGGGCCAGCTGTCCCAAGCCTTGACCTGCTTGAGGCCACGCCCCTTCTGAGGGCATGGAGCCATCCCCCTCCCTCCCACACACACACTTTGCCGGAGAGCCCACAAAAGCTGTCAGCTGACCTGGGAGTGCCTCCCATCTTTAGTTCCCTACTCCAGCACAAAGCAGAACTTCACTTCCCCTGCCAAAGAAGGGATCTAGGCTTAGCTCTGGGAGTGTAACATTCCGCTAATCGTTTTAGTGTTAACATACAAATATTGGACAACAGAAATCAGCTAAATCAAGTTCTCTAGAAGAAAATAAAAAATATCTTGCACAAAATTTTAGAGACTTAAGCTTCATTTACAAAATACCCCCTAGTATTTTAATTGATACTTGCCAACTTGCCTTTCTTTTTGTCCAATGTCCTCCTCCCCATACACAACCCAAGATTTCATATATTTAGTAGCTCAATTACCTGTAAGTCTATTGTATAATCTTTCCCGGGCACAAAGCGGTTAACATCTGCATCCCACAGCTCATTGAAAAGTTTAGAAAGTTCATGATTTAAGACCAGCCTGCAAAGAAATGCAGAGAAACATCAATGTTTTCTTTAAAAAAAAAAAGACAGATCAATACTTCTCAATCAGAGCCAGACTCCACATTACTGGTTCCACTTCAGTAGCATTCTGTGTGCTTCAGGACTTTGAGGGAGTGTTCTCCGCTCATGAAACTCACAGTTCCACATGTAGCCAAGGTATAATGTTAATAGTAGTACAGTTAGTTGAGACTATCCAAAGACTTTTTATCAAGAGATGGGAAATTTGTGTTTATTTTGTAAGTTTTTAAGAGTTTATTTTTTATTTTTTAACTTCAATTATTTTTTATTGTCTTTGAATGGTAGACTTCAGTTTTATTCTATAATTAGTGAAATCTACTAATAACAAATTAAAATAAAGATGACAATCTTTCCATCACTTCAAAGGACATTTGTCTCATAGAGAAATAGAATTACATCGCTATCAGCAAGGAGCATTCTTCAAGACGGTTTGTGAAGGTGACATTTTATTTCTCTTTCATATTTGTAATGAGCCTCCAAGCTGATAACTTGGTTCCTACTTTGCTTCCACCCCAGCAGAGGTGGAGAGAGCAGGGCAAGGTATGGTTATTCAGTTCATTATCCAGCCAGCAGAGAGCGCCATAATCCTCAAAATGCAAGGAAAGTGAGTAGAATGATGAGGTCAGAGGGGACTAGGCTCCATAATCATAGAACCATGAGTCTGGAAGGGACTTTGAGAGATCATCTAGTCCAGTGTTTCTCAACTTTTTTTTATAGAGTACCCCTTTAAAAATATATATATAAGTACCTCCAGTGCCTACAGGTTTCAGACACACAATTTTTTTCCCTACCATTGCAACACATTTGTTTAAACAACTTAACTGTAGCCGCGCGGGTGATTAAATTTTTGGTTGTAAAAAGTACAAAAATAATAAAGCACTGTAAAACTTAAAACAAAAATTCAGTTTTCTCCACTTTTCAGTTGTGTTGATGTACCCCCAGATGTCTCTTGTACCCCAAAGGTACTCGTACCACTGGTTGAGAAACACTAGTCCCCTGCATTCAAGGCAGGACTAAATATTATTTAGATCATTGCTGACAGGCATTTGTCTAACAGTGGTCCTTGGCAATTTATTCCAGGGCTTAACCACCCTGAGCATTAGGAAGTTTTTCTTAATTGTTGTTATTGCAATTTAAGCCCATTGTTTCTTGTCCAGTCCTCAAAGCTTAAGGAGACATTTTTTTTCTCCCTCCTCCTCGTAAAAATGTTTTACGTCAGGGGTGCGGAACCTTTTTCCTATCAGGAGCCACTGACTTCCAGAAAAAAACACTCATGGGCCATGCACAGACCCGGTGTGGTGGGGCAGGATGGAACATGGGGGCTCAGGGTTTCCCTAGGCTTTGGGAGAGGGTTGTCAATTTTTCCAACCGGACACCATTGCTGCAAATGGCAATGGTGTCCAGTCCTTCCAGCTGGGAAACTTGATAACACTATCACTGGGATGGGCCCAAATATAAGGGGTTCAGGGTGCAGGAGGGGGTTCCAAGCTGGGGCAGAGGGTTGCGTGTGAGAGGTGGAGTGAGGACTCTGACTGGAGTTGCAGACTGTGGGGTGAGGCTTGGGATGAGGGGTTTTGGTACAGGAGGAGGGTCTGGACTGGGGACAAAGGAGATTGAATGCAGGAGGGGGAAGCTCAGGGCTGGGGCAGAGGGCTGAGGTACAGGATGGAGTGTGAGGTGCTTACGTCAAGCAGCTACTGGATTCAGAAGTGGCTGGCTTGTCCCTGCAGGATCTGGGTGGGAGACAGGTGGCTTCACGTGCTGCCCTTGCCTGCAGACACCACTGCCCACAACTCACATTGCCTGTGGTTCCCACCCAGCCAATGTGAGCTGTAGGGGCAGCACCTGCAGGCGAGGGTGGTGCATGAAGCACCACAAGCAGGCACTTGCAGCTCCAGCCCCATGGGGGGTACCGAGGCTCAGGGCTTCCAGTCTGCGGTATGGGGACTTGCTCCCAGTTAGATGAACTTAAGCAGGGAGCTGGATCTGGCCTATGGACTGGAGCTTCCCCACTGCTGTTTTATGTTCTTGAAAGTGGTTATCAAGGGGACAGAGGCTACATGAGGCCAGGGACAGCAACTCAGGGACAGCAGCCTGGGGTTTGGCAGCAGAGGGAAAGCCAGATAGCGGTCAGCCTGCAAGTTGGAATGAACAGTCCGAGAGCAGGGCAGATATGCTGTGCTGTGGGCAGGGGAGAACAGGAGGATAAGGGGCTCTAACCTATTCATCCTGTTCCTTTGTGGTCCATGGGAAGAACAGAATTGCCTGCATTGCCCAGAATGTGCTCATCTCCCCTGCAGTTCTGCGCTAAGACTATGGTTATAATAAAATCTCATGCCTCAGGGCTTCAGCCAGTTGCCTACAGGAGTCAGGATGGAATCCCCCACCCCTCTACCTCGGCACACAACTGGGGAAGAGGGTTCACCTTCCACTAAAGCATCAGAGATTGGCTACTGCTGAAGATAAGATACTGTTGAGGGTGGCCCAGTCTCTGAGGTGGCACAGAGGATTGCTTTTCTAAATGTCTGGCTGGGGTGTCTTGCTCAGGCTCAAACTCACTGCTAGATTTGGGACCCGGAAGGAATTCTCCAGGTGAGACTAGCACTGGCTTTGGGATTTTTGGCTTTTCTCTGCAACAAGGAGCACAAATCAGCTGCTAGGATCATCTGGGCATGTCTCAGCTGATCAGTTCCTTGTCATTGCAGGATCTTCAGGGCCTTTAGTCTCTCTTGTTCTCTCCTTTTGGCACATCACAATTTACCCTCTTGATAACTGAAATTTGTATTCTCAGTCATTGGGATAAATATTATAGGGGTATCTGGGTTAAATTTAATGCTGTATGATATACACAGAGGGTAGACTAGATGAGCAAATAGTCCCTGCTAGCCTTAAACTCAATGAAAATCTATGATAGTGTGGAAGGGTTGCTATGAGATCTTACCGGTATGTTGGGCTGCCCCTAGTACTGTTGTTTCAATTTTCATTGTTATTCTAACATAAAGCAATTGTACCTATGAAATTTTCACACTTTATTTCTGGCTTCCCTAGTAAAGCAATTCTCTTATTCGAAATGTGAGAGTATTTATGGGAACCCAACAAGGGCTGGACCTTGTAGAGCCTAGAGCTTGGAGCTCTTGTACACAGAACACACTACCCAGAGTCATAGAGGACGGTTGTACTACAGCACTCAATACAGTCCCCAGTAGTGGACTGGTTACTGTATTTTCCCCTTTGGTTTATATTTACAATGAAGTTTTTGGCCCTATTTTTTTCCCAGTAGCATTAAGCTTAAGGAATTAGCCTTCGTTTTTGGGCGTATCTTCACTTCAGAGTTCACTTGAGCCCTTCCTTCAGTGTAACCCTGCCCCCTCCCTCTCCGCCCCTGCAGTCCATACACAGGACCCTATGACCCAAGTGTGGTGCTTTTAACCCAGGCCAGCTGACCAAGCTGCAGCCTAAAGCCTCAGAGAGGCTTTCATTTGGCCGGGGTACCTGGTCATTTTTTACCAATGATGCAGGCAAAAACACCCAAACACTTATAGTCCTCCAGTTCCCCACCCCTCACCCCATGTACCCAGAAGGACAGATAAGGTCTCCCACAATTCAGTAAACAAGAAACATAGAGCACCTCAGGTTATTGCAGCCAGAGCTATCACTTGGGTACAGTGAATCAGGGTAGCTACCTCGAGCCTCACACATTGGGAGACCCCATGGGGAGGCAAGGCAAGAGGTAGGTGGGCGAGCAAGGTGAGGAGGCAAATGGGGAAGTGAGTGACAGGAGTTGAGTGAGGAGGCACAGGAAAAAATGGTGGGGGCTGAGCACTCATAGGCAGGCCTCCTACCTGAACATCGCCCCTCCCCCTGCCAACATGCTTCTTGCTCTCCAGTGGGTCCTGCTACTCAGCACCTCCCTCTCTCTTCCAGCACCTAGCACCTAGAATCATAGAATAATAGGACTGGAAGGGCCCTCGAGAGGTCATCGAGTCCAGCCCCCCGCCCTCAAGGCAGGATCAAGCTCCGTCTACACCATCCCTGACAGATGTCTATCTAACCTGTTCTTAAATATCTCCAGAGAGGGAGATTCCACCACCTCCCTTGGCAATTTATTCCAATATTTGACCACCCTGACAGTTAGGAATTTTTTCCTAATGTCCAATCTAAACCTCCCCTGCTGCACTTTAAGCCCATTACTCCTTGTCCTGTCCTCAGAAACCAAGAGGAACAAATTTTCTCCTTCCTCCTTGTGACACCCTTTTAGATATTTGAAAACCGCTATCATGTCCCCCCTTAATCTTCTTTTTTCCAAACTAAACAAGCCCAGTTCATGAAGCCTGGCTTCATAGGTCATGTTCTCTAAACCTTTAATCATTCTTGTTGCTCTTCTCTGTACCCTTTCCAATTTCTCCACATCTTTCTTGAAATGTGGCGCCCAGAACTGGACACAGTACTCCAGCTGAGGCCTAACTAGTGCAGAGTAGAGCGGCAGAATGACTTCACGAGTTTTGCTTACAACACACCTGTTGATACAACCTAGAATCATATTTGCTTTTTTTGCAACAGCATCACACTGTTGACTCATATTCAACTTGTGGTCCACTATGACCCCTAGATCCCTTTCTGCCATGCTCCTTCCTAGACAGTCGCTTCCCATCTTGTATGTATGGAACTGATTGTTCCTTCCTAAGTGGAGCACTTTGCATTTCTCTTTATTAAACCTCATCCTGTTTACCTCTGACCATTTCTCTAACTTGCTAAGGTCATTTTGAATTATGTCCCTATCCTCCAAAGAAGTTGCAACCCCACCCAGTTTGGTATCATCTGCAAACTTAATAAGCGTACTCTCTATCCCAATATCTACATCATTGATGAAGATGTTGAACAGTATGGGTCCCAAAACAGACCCTTGAGGAACTCCACTTGTTATCCCTTTCCAGCAGGATTTAGAACCGTTAACAACAA